AAGTTCTAACAGATGGCAGTACTAGTAGCCCATATAAACATGGCTGCATAGGCTTCACTTTTTTTCGACAATGCTCCCTCCTTTATCTCCATGGTTACGACCCCCTGATCACAACTAAGATCTCTGTCTTTGTCTCGTCGTCGCTGATTGGTTGAAATTTATACGAGTACAGTCTAAGACAAAAGAACAACGAAAAGTAAAGAATGACAATGCCAATTAAATGCTTGCTTATAAATAGGAAAATGCAAATATTCTTACAAATTTTAGATAAAATAAAAGTGACTGTAGTAGTACAGTAATGCAATGTTTTTAATACTAAGATTTAATTAAATAAGATTATTTATTATGATTGGAAGCAATGAGCTATCTTATCCCAATAAGTGAAAACAATTAAAACCAGAGTCATTTCATTAGTAGCTTTGAAACCTAGTGCATTTGCAAAACTTAGTTGTATTATAAGAACATTTTACATTAATTGTGTGATTTTGGTTTTGGACTTTCTCAGTATGTCTTATTTCTGTTTCTAAAATATATATAAATAAAATCTAATATATATGAAAATAAAAATTTGTATTTTATTATGTCCTCCTTGAAGAAAATCACATATAAACATACAATTATGTATCATTTATGTTTATATAAAATATTCATTATGTCTATAAAAACTATATATTTCTATTATGTAATTAGATATAGTGATTATTTTTCTGGTTAGACATTATAAAAACTAATATTATTTACTCGAAAACTATATAATGTATGGTAATATTTCTCACTATTAAATATGCGCGCGTAAACAAGAAACATACTTCGAAGATGCATACAACGGCACAATGCGCGCGGTTAACTATTTTAATTAATTAAAATTTGGTTAACTAAAAAAAAAAATTTTATGTAAAAAATCATCAACGAATCATCTATCATTTACGACCTAGGCTGCAATCACGGAGTGCACTATCAGCTGTATCATCCGTCACCTTATCTTTATTGCTTATTAGAT